ATGCGAATCAAATTAAAATTAATTGTACATAATTATCCGTCATTATGTGATGCTGAAATTAATTTTGGTAAAGAAATTGCATTCATACGCAATAAAGAATTTAGTGAAAAAGTGAAGAATTTAATGCATAATGTAAATAAAATATCAACTTTTTTAAAACAATTACAATTACTAATTGTGAGTAATAATTTTTTATATATTTGTCTTTTTTTTTATTCAATATAATATATATATATATATATATATAATATTATTATTATTTTTTTTTTATAGAGTAATTTCATTAACAACAGATATATTATTGAAGGTAATAGATATGAAGCCATAGATAATCAAACAATGGAAATGTTAAAAGAATTAAAAGATGTACTTGATACATCATCTGTATGTGAAAAAAATATATAATTTTAATTTAATTTTAATTATTAATATAAAAAGCAAAAAAAGATTGATATTGTTTTCATTCTTTGTTTAAAGAAAAGAAAATTATTAATTATTAGTACTTTAGTACTATTAGACAATTTGAATTATAATAATAATAAATGTTATTATTATAGGGAATTCAGATATTATCTAATAATAGTTTGAGTACAATCAAATTATCTTGGAATAATATTGCTATAAAATTGCAAAGAATAAATCATAGGACATGTTCATGGACAGTTATTGATTCAGATTTACCTGAAATACCTGCCTTGGGACCTTTTGAAAAAAATATATCAACATTAGTTATAGCAAGGAATAAACTTAAACTTCAAGTAGAAATACTTGAAAAAGCATGGTCAAATTTAAAACAAATTGATGAGTAAACATATAGATAATTATGAATATTTATTTCTTATTTTTTTTTTCAATACTTAGCACAATATATATATATATGTATTACTTTTAAATGAATAGGAATTGTTGGATAGTAGATCCATTACAGCCAAAACCATATCATCTTTATCGACGAATTTATTTAACACCATCTTTATCAATGTACATTAAAATAGATCCTCTGAATCCTATGGATTTACCAGAAATTACATTTATGGGTAGTGATATAGAAGTTAAATCAAAAAAAGAATTGATTTCTAAGAAGTTACATGTGTGGGACATATAATTATTACTATTTCTATTTATATTATAAAATAACATATTAATTAATATTTAATATATATTACACATTAATATATATAATAAAAACAATATTAAACATTATAATATTTTTTCAGAATTGGAATCCAAATCATGATATTTTAAATAATTTAAAGATGTTATTAGATATAGATACATTTCTCAAAAAGGAAATAAATAAAGAATCTACAGAAGATAATAATGTAATTGTTGCTGATGAAGAATGTTGTATTTGTTTTTCTCTACAATTAGATAATGAAACTCTACCTGATAAAATTTGTAGTAATGAAAAATGTAAAAGACATTTCCATACATCTTGTCTATTACAAGTATGAATATTACATAACTTTTAAATTAAAATATAATTAAATTAAGAATCTTTATTTAATATTTATTAAACTATTTATATTTACAAATATTTATATTTATATTTATTTTATTTTTAGTGGTTACAAGCAATTGTTGGAAATCATGTTATATTTGATCATATTCATGGTTCATGTCCTAATTGTCAAGAAAGCATATCGTGCTATATTAAATGGTATAATATAAGTATAAATTATAGAAATATATTAATTTATTATTTAAACACATGTACATATCTATAATTCATGCATTTTATCCACTGCTCAAGATTATTATTAAATTGACTATTGCCACATATTAAAATTAATGTATTATTAGCTATTTTATTTTTAAGTACTTCAGAAATTGATTTTTTATCCAATCTTCCAGATTTTATATTTATACCATGGATATTACAAACATCTAAAATATAAAATGTAAAAAAATATTTTGAAAAGAAAAAAATTTAAAAAAAACTTATTATTTATTAATATAAAAATATCTGAATTACTTTGCATTTGTGATATGTGCAAAGTACATTTGAAATTCCAATAATCTGATAAGATTTGTAATTCTTTTTTTAGAGGAATCTGCAATATATTTTTAAATCCTCCAATAAGATGAATCTTTGTCTCTTCTAATTCATTTTCTACAATTGATTTTGCTATGTGATAAACTACAGTTATTCCAGATCCCATAGAGAACATAATAATTGTCTGAAAACTGAAAAGTATTTAATATCTTTAAAATAATTTTATATTTTTTATTATTAAATTTATATTTTATTAAATTATAATATATATTGTATTATTATTAATTTATAAACAAAGAAGTAATAAAACAAATACATATTAATTTATATACCTATTACTTTCATATTTAAAATTTCCATATGGTCCTCTAACATGAATTATATCACCTATTTTTATGTTCTTTAAATATTGACTAAATTTTCCATTTGGATAAAGTCTAATTAGAAATTCAATACAGTCATCTGTGAAAAAAATTGGTGTAAATGGTTTGGTAATGTCATGTAAATGTAACATAACATGTTGTCCAGGATCAATTAATATTTTTTTATTTTTGTAGTTATTTTCTAAAAAAATTAATAATTATTAACAGCATCACAAATTAAAATTAAAATTGATATATAATTTTCATAAAATTCATTTAAATATTCATTTGCTTTATATACCATAATATTTCAAAACAATTAAAATATAACATTCAGATCTTTCTTCTATATTAAAAACTACAAAATTTTTATATTTATACAAATGAAGTATGTTTTGTTTATTCTGTATTTTTATATTCTGTTTTTTTTTTCTTTCATATTCTTCGAGTAATTTTTTATGTACATCAAAAATGCAAGGATCACATGCATTATGGCAACAGTCTTCCTCTGATGGTGTTATTGGTCTACTATTTTCATTATTATCAGCACACATATTATGTAAAATAATATTACAAAAATATATATAATATATAATA